AATAGCAAGGCAAAGCTGTTAACTTGCATTAGAATTTCACACCACATGTAATATTGGGAATGTTAGAAATTCATTAATACACCACCTCCTGTTATTCTGCCTGGCTTATAAGTACATTCTACAGGTAGAAAATTTCTCACTGTAGATGTACTTACTTCAATCTGAGCCATAAAATTAAGATAACAAAAGGTACAACACAGTAAGAAAAAGATCTAGAACTGCAGAAATAAAGGCTTGGTTTTAATGCTTCCTCTATTGACAGAGTCAGGTGGCAGGAAAGGAAAAGCTTAGTACTTAACTAAAGTAACATAAATTAAACTAACATAACTTTAACTAAACTAACATAAAATGGCCAGAGAGAAGATGCAGAGCAAGCTCAGACAGCAGCACAGAAGAACAATGGAAAAGGCTCAAGAATTTTCAGCTGAAAGGAGTTTCAGTGATGTTTTTGCCAACAGTAAATACTCTGAAAATTTAGGGTCTAACCTTGCTCATCTCAGTCACACAAATAATTGCCCTCAGATGCAGTGACACATTTTGCATGAGTTTGTTTGCATGACAAGAAGAGGTACCAATAATAATGCTTTAGAAATTGAGAACACAGCTTATGCTGTCTTTGTAGTGTAGCCATCTGTATAGTGTGAGTGATTTATAGTTTGGGTTTTTTCCAATTTACATAACAAACAACAGGAAATTTAAAAAGATAAAAATTAGACCTAAATATGAGTCCTGTTCACATGACACAACACCACTTCATTTCATACAATTTAAAACTTAGACTCCCATCCCCTGGAGAAAGGGTTCATGCCTTACAACAACAGTATAAAAAGCATCAGTGTGAAAGTCTGGAGCCCTAAAGACTGAGAAAAGTTCATGGATCTCAGCGTGGGAAGGATCCTCTCAGTGGAAGCGAGGATCTCTGTACAGGAGAGCTGACGTCAGTGGAAGTGGGAGGGAAATGGTGATGGGAAGTTTGTCGGGGAAATGATTGAGGATAGTTTCACTGGGAACAGGGAGGATTCAAGAGAGGGTGGATGGCCTCAGTGGAAGCATGGACAGAAAGTGTGGGAGTATCAGAGGGAGGGAGTGCTGGTGTGTTCCAAGGGAAAGGAATTACCAGACAGGGAGGAAAAGAGCAGACAGCTTAATGGACTAAATAATGTGCTGTTAACTGCTGAAATGAGATCCACTTCAGCACTGCAGGTGCCATATAGCACACAGCCTATGCAGAATTATGCAACATGGGTTTGCAGTGACTGCAAAATTCAAAGGCAATTTCAGGGTCTAAATGCAGAAAACTTACTGGCTGTAGGAGCATGGATTTAAACTGGCTGCCCCACATCAGCTGATAAATCGAGAGACTATTTCACATTCGGTCCTTCTGACTTGGGAGTAATTTTAATTTCAAACAAAGGAAGTTTGGATTTACTCTCTGATCCCCCTGCAACCAAATGCACATATTTCTGTATTAAATGTACCCGACGGGGAGAGTTACTCAAGGAAAGAGGAAGGAAATCTTACATACGTAAAAGAATGACAGAGCAAAATCAAGGTGCTACAGTGTATATTAATGTGCTGGAGAAGAGCCACACACACACAGGATGCTGGGATAGCATATGATTATGAATATCCAAGCCAATTTTAAATAAACGCCCATGAAGTCCTTATGCCTTTCAGCATTTACTCCACTTATGTTATAGATTAAACAGTTATCATTCTAATGGTGTTTAAGCGGGTTTCTATAAATCCAAGTACCTTTATCACAAATTCAACTACAAATATATCTGAAAATCATAACTAATATATATGAAAAGGTCAGGCTGTCACAATTTTGAGTCCACTTTCTTGAGATTTTTAGAGTTAAAACTAAAATCAGGGAAACTCGTCTTTGCAACAGTACTGGTTAAGTGTAATTTGATATTCTTTATGTAGCACTGGATAATCAAACCCCAGTCCTTGCATCCAAGTCCTGCTCATCTCTCACTGGTACATGATTTAATCTGCGGTGGCAATGCCTTGAAAATTAAGAGAAGAGTTTCCATGGCTGGTTCATTGTTTAAATATGGCACTTATTCCAAGGCACCCATAATTTTCAAATAAAAGCCACATATGAAAATACTAACTAAGGAGGGAGATCCAGGTGCCATGTCCTGAAAGAGGTCTTCCATTTCTCACATACTGTCACCATATTCATACACAAGAGAAATAGGTATTACAGCATTTAACCTCCACATGCACACACTTTCAGGATTATTCTGCAAATTTGTGTGGATTAATTTAGAGTTCCCCATACTAGAAAATAACTTTTTTTAGCTGCAGTTTATAAATTGATGCAAATCACAAGATACAGTATGCTTACACCACCCATCCAGAAAACGATCCTCTGCTATTTGACCAGGAGAAAGATGTAACAAGACAAACCAGAGTAAGTCAGGGGTTAATTAGCAATAGATATATGCCATTTTACAACCAACATGGGACATTTTTTGTCTGTATTACATTTTCTGGCTTGAAAAATGTGCACTATAGCTAGCAAACTGATTCAGTAAATATTATTGCACTATCTATTACACATGTCTTAATAAATTTAACACTAATGCCAGACAAAGTGAAAACACTGAAATTTACACACTGGCCAAGTTTTGTTCATAGTTCTAACACAGCATTCTGTCGGCTTTAATCTGAGAATATATGACTTAAAGCACCCTGAAACCAAGTGAAAATGTCATTCAGGCAGACTACTGGTGATGCACACAAATTCTGGGTGACAACACCAGTCCCCAAAGCACACCAGGTTTGTAGCATTTCATGTTTGTGTGAAGGAATCCCTGAGGCCATAAAGAGTGTACTACACACTCCGAGAAATAGCAATGGTTCTTAGTAGCACCCTAACTCTTACAGTTCTTCCCCAAATCAAAAATCCTACAAAACAGCACAACATCCTGCCCAATGCTCCTTTTGCCTTCAGGAGTTTCAGGCTCCTGTACATTGTTTTCAATTTTCTCACACTTTCTTTCTTTCCAAACAACTTCACTGTGCTGTGAAAACTACTCTGCAGTGATCCCTTGCCCCAGCACAGTCTTTGAGACAGCACAGTTATCTAGCACACTAAGAACTGCAAATCTGATTGCGCTACACACGCTAATGATAAAAGCGGAGAAAGAAATACCACGCTGCCTGACAGCTCTAAGGACTATTACAGAATTTTGCATGTGAAAATAATGTAAATGTGATGTGTCCAACAGATTTTGTATTCAACTGATCACAAACAGAACGCCATTTTCATTTCTCAAAACCCATCTTTCACAGAACTGTGCTAAAGAGTGATGACAAGGGCAGAAAATGTGACTGAGTGATAAAAATCTGAGTGACTGTCAGTGAGATGACAGCATGCATACAAACAGACAGCAACCTATAGTGTCTGGCTGAATTATCCAAACCTAGTAAAAAGAATTTGTACAAAGTTCTTGAAGGTGAACAACAAAATTTAACAAAATTAAGACTGCTTCCCACACATGCTTCTGGAAACAGGTTTGAGTGATTTTTCCCCTTAAACAATCATACAGAAGCCAAATTCACAGAACAAAAAATTTAAAAGACTATTTTTTATTTAGGTTTTGTAACATGCAATTATAATCACTATTAAAAATTCAGCTAGCAAAGCAATTGCCAGGAATTTGATGACAACTTAAGCTTCCTCAGTGTGGTTGCTGTGTTAAACGTGCCGTGAGCACGGCTATCGCGTGTGAACAGGGCCGTAAAGTTCATTTCCTGTGCAGTGTTGTTAACACAAAAATTTAGTTTAGTGTACCACTATTCAGCTTCATGTTCTGTATAAAGTATTGTTAATTCCTCCCCAGCTCACCACTCTCAAAGTGTCTGCTAATTTTCTAGACTTTTTTGAACTATGAAACTTACTAAACTATGAACAAAGATTACTAAATCTGAATGAAAACAATCAAAGAAAAGCACCCACATAACTGAAGTAAATTATTCCTGGTCAATACTCTAAAAGTTGTCTTAATATGCAAGTAAAAACTCTAAGAAAACAACAAATCATTAGAGTTTCTGTTAGTCTGCAAAACTCTTGACATTCAGCTACATCTCACTTGCATATCAAGCCTGTATCTTGTATTTACAGCGTGTGTATCTCAGTTCTTATCACAGCAACCACAACAGATCAGCCATGTTATATAATATCCCCAGGACTGCTACAATGTGATTTTTCTTACATTGGCAACTACCATTTTTACAAATAAAAACAGTTTCCAAAAAAAAGCAAAAATATAAATCCTATAAGATTAGGAGCTAAATACAACTCATAAACAAACAGTCCATCGATAAAAAGCAAACAGACAAGTGAGCACACTACACCACGGTCTCACTTCCAGGAAAATAATCACAAATCACAATTTGTTTTCAGTATGTGTGTGTCATCTCCAAATAGTCTTGTGTCGCACGTCTACTCAAAAGTATGGGAGCAAACACATGGGAAAAAAACGCAAATAAACACCCTATTTGTAGCAATAGACAAAGTCAACAAGTTGTTAATGTAAATCAGTACCCAGAGCAAAACACGCTGCCACTCTCCCCTCGACTTTCCGAATGGAGAAGGTATGCAAAGTGCTCAGCCCAGCTCGCAGATCCCTGCTTCCAGAGGGGACGAGCACAAAGAGCCGCCCGGCACAGACACGGGGGCAGCGCATCCCCCCTGGGGACCCCCAGCTTCACAAGCAAGACCCGTGCCCTGGCTCGAACGATCGATGAGGACAATTAACATCGCTCTCCTCCCCAGAATTAGGAAAACTCATTTTATGGAATGGAGAAAGAGGCTTGGGTACCTCTACAAAGCCGCCAAGACACTGATTAGTTTATAAACGAAAGTAAAGCCCGAGCCAGGAAAAGCTCCCGCACAAGGGCAGGGAGACTCCTTGGGCTCAAGCGCTACAGCCAACTCCTGTTCTGAGAGAAACAGTGCTCGTGTTTAGCACCCTTTTTACCTTAACATTGGGTCTGCCGGTCTGGGCCTCTGCCTCCATGCTCTGGCTGTTCTCCCTCTTGTCTTTCTTAGAGGAATTAGTCCTCGCCTCATAAGTGGATGTGTTGTAGCATTTAATGAATAATCCTGGGACGGGGTTGCCTTGCTGCTGTTGAGACATGGTTGTGTTGGTCTGGTGAGGGAAATTGTACTCCTCAGACTCATTGCTACTGTGACAGATCACTCTGCTGTCAGAGAGGTTGGTGCTTGGAACACAGCCCATGCTTTGTGGCCACCTGGGGAATACTTCTAAATTGTATATATATACGTGTACATATATATGCATATATATCTTTCCTTCCCGTTGGTATTTTCCCCCTGCTTAATTTTTTTTTGTTAACAGGTTGAATCTCTCTCCTGCGTCTCCGCTACACTCTGAAGCATTGCCATCGGTCCCTTCTACACCACCAGAAACGTGTCTGTTCTCCTCGTCCTCCAGGAAACAGGTCCTTTTAGCTCAATCTCAGCAGTGGGCTGGGGAGCTGGAGGGGAGGGAAGGGGGGAAATCAAGAACCGGTCGACTTCGTATTTTCACAAATTATTATTAATTTGTCTAAGCCATCTGAGAATCTTGGTAAGGTTTTCTTTTCTTCTTGTAAAAGAAAAAAAAAAAAAAAGGAAAAAAAAAAAAAGAGGGGGGAAAAAAAGCTTAAGCAAAAATAACGAAAAAAGCCCAAGCCCCAAACCACACGCTCCCCGGCTTCGGCTCGGCGCTCAGAGCGGCCGGGGGCACGGCCCCATCTCCTCCCCTGAGCCCGGGGCACGGCGCATTTTCCGCCCGGGCTTGCTCCGCGTTACCGATTAACCCGGGACCGGGCCGGGGGCCGCTCCCCACCTCCGTGTCCGCGCTCCCGCCGAGCAGCGCTCACTCCTCGCGGTCCCACTCGGCGCTGCCCTGTGCCGGGGGTGCGCTTTGGGGTGTGCTTTGGGGACAAAAAAAAACCAACAAAAAAATCAACGATTTATTAAAAAACGACAGCGGAGAGTGAAAGCCGGCCGGCCGCCCCGGGGAGCCGGCTGCGCTCCTCACGCCGCGCTGGGCACGTCCCGCGCCGCCTCGGTCGCGGGCGGGCGGGCGGGCGCCGCGGGGGTGACATTCAGGTTCCCGTCGTCGGAAGGAAAGAAGAGCCCCCCGTCAAGCGGCAGCGGGGCTCTCCGGGCGCCGCAGCGGCATCCCGGCTCAGCGCCGCGGGGCAGGGGCGGGCCGGGCCGCGGGGAGCCCCCTCGGGGAACGGGGCACGGCCCGGAGGGGTTCCCTCAGCCGCGGGGGCAGCCGGCGCGGCGGGCGGACGCATCAAAGGGCCTCCATGATGCGGTTGGTTTTTTGGGCAGAGAAGTGATGCGAAACGGCGAGAGGGGAAAAATTAAAAATTAAAAAAAAAAAAGGGCAAGAAAAATTAAAAAGAGCGAGAAGTAGAAGGAGAACGATCCTAGCGTCCCATCCCGGCGGCAAGGGCTGCAGCGGCGAGAGGTCCGGTTCCCGGGGCCGTGGTGTCTGCATCCCTCAGCAGGGAAATGCCTGGCTCCCCGCAGCCGCCGTCCCTCGCGCCGCGCTCACCTTGTTATTATTGACGTTCCTCGGCGGCGGCCGCGGCCCCTCCGCCGCCCCGCCCCGCCCCGCGGCTCCCCCCGCGCCGCCCCGGCCCGGCCGAGCCAATGCAGCGCCCGGCGGCGCTGACCTCCGGCCCGCGCTGGCGTCAATGCAGATCAGCGGCCGCGGCCAATGCCGCGCCAGCCCCGCCCGAGCCTGCGGGGCTCGCAGCCGAGCCTGCGGGGCTCGCACCGCACCGCCGCTCGCTCCGCACCGCAGCCCGCTCAGGGCTCGGGGTAACCCCGGCACGACGCCTCGGGGAGACAGCGAGCGGCTGCTCCGTGAGACCCCTGGAGCCCTTCTTCAGAAACCGGACAACGGACTCGGTTGTTGCTTCCCATCCTTTTCCTTTTCAACTCTGCCCATGCCAATTTCTTTGAAAATATTTTTGAACGCAAAGCCTGTGAAAAGGGAAGATGGTGCTATGGGTGGAGCCAGGCCCCGGGGCTTGGGAAATCAACTGCAGGCAGACTTTTCCTGGAATATGTATGTAACATTAACCTTTTCTGTTTCTATATCAAATGAAAGTAACTATGCTTCCTTATCCTATAGGTGTGCTGGGAGACTGGACGTCTGTGCGTACCTTAAGAGAGAACACATTCTATTTAAAGCCCTTCAGACACCATGCCCAGGGTAAGACAAGTTACTGCCATAGAAAATTCCTATTCCAGAAGTACCAGCTCAAGTGCAGCCCAGGTTCAACAACAGACACACAACACCATACTCTTCCACAGACCACACACAACCCGATGGCATCTTCACGTGCCTTTCATATTTTTCACTATGTCATTTGTAGCTTCTGCTACCTTTATTCTCAATGACTCACAGAGGTGCTTCTCCAAGGTCCTGTCTGTTTTCACTGGCTGAGGAACAGCTCAGAGACAACAGCAGTTTAGAGAAGGTCCAGCCAAACTTTAGATTTAGGAACATGGTGGAAACCAAGTATCAGGGACATGACTTTTATCAATAAGCTCCAGCATCTGAAGAGGGAAAAATAATGTGTTACAAGCGGAAACTGTTTAAATTACTCCAGTTTTGTGCCATGAACATTTCTGTGGTCCCCTGGTAGAATCATTGTGTTTCAGAAGAATCCAGTTCAGCAGGAGCACTTCTGTGCATTCAGGACAGCCACACTTTTAACAGTACCTTAGCTACATGAGAAATGCCATCAGGTCATAATTAAAAGCAAAACATGCAGATAAATGATGGCTATGGACAACAAGAATGGCAAGAGGCAGCTTTTCACTCAATATATGTAACAGCATCACTTGATCCAGATGAGAGCACCTTGTAAATTTGAGAGATGCAAAGCCAAAAGTCAGTGCTTTTGAGAAATGTGGTTTTTCAGGATAACCACAGTACTTGCAATGCAGAAATGCTTTTATTTACTTCTCATAATTGCTAGCATTAAAGGCTGGAAAATCAAGTCTTTCCCTTCCCCGATGTTTCTGCTAGTGTGCAGTTTCGAGCACAAGCAATAGTCACATAAACTTCATCCACCCCATTAATTTAACTGATCTATACAGCCTGTTAGAACCAGAAAAAGAAATCAGCTTCCTGTGCCCTTTCATCACTTTGGACATCCTCTTAATATATAATAAACAAAGGGAATGGATTAACATACCCATTTGAAACAGTGGGCACTGTTTGGAGATGGATCTTGTCCTCATTCTTTTCTTTACATTAAACATAATTTACTAGATGTCATTAGTAAGAACACATGTGCAGCTAGAAAAAGACTGTGGAAGAGAATGCTACAATTCCTACTTGTGCCATTAGGCATAAGTGCAGGCTCCCTTCCTCAGCCCTAATGGATCTGTCAGCAAAACTGCTATTGCACTTTATTTCTGGTGGCACTGGAGGAGTCAGAGACAGCAAAACTTCATTTTCAGAGCTGCACATTCAGTTTGCAGTGCTGACACCTAGAGTTAAGCTTTCTGCTTTGTAAAATAAATGGATCTGGTTTGCAGGTACATAGAGATGAAATCTATGGTGTGATTTAAAAAAAAAGAAAATCAATATTGAAAAATCTCTGCTTTCCACTTTGAATGCAAGCAAATTCCCATTCAACAAATACAAAAATTTATGTAAATGACAGGCAAATACTGGGAGGAGAAGAGAATGCTTTGTTTGATAACAGCATGACAAAACAAGAAAGTGTACATGCAGATATGATGTGCATGACTACTTCGTTATTTTAAAAAGTTTTTCCACAAGTGTCCATTGGCAGGTTATTACTGATTATTTCTACAGCCTAACTTCATGGAAAAAAACAAACCAAAACAAATCCATTTGCAAGATTTTCAGATGAGAACTCACACTGCCTTGAATGGGAGGATGAGACTGAACAATCCTTTAGTAGTTTAATAGAAGCCATTGAAAAATCACTGGAGTTACTGTCACACTGATAAAAATTCAACTAAAGATAAAAATTGCTCTTTGAACAAGACATTGGCCCTGAAATTGTCTTGTTTCACTAAAATTTGGAAACACTGGTGGTGGGTTTTATCGCCAATAGAATAATACAGTTGAAAATATAGATTTATCCAGAGCCTAGAATCAGAGAGAAGGGGTAAAAACATCAAAATTCTTGCCAGTGGTAGTAATTTGTCACTGCACTGTATGAAGTGTGTGGATAAAGGGCCTTGTTCACAATTACTGCTGAAGCACAGCTCAGGAAATGGTGGGCCCTATTATTAAAAAGAAAAGCATGCAAAATAGCAGAGGAAGCCTAGGAGTGTAGTCACTAACAGATTAGGGCTGTGGGGGAAGTGCAAGGTCAGTACAGAGTCAGTAAGGGAGAGGTCAGAAGAAACCTAGTTCTAGGAGACAGCTGGGGGGATGAGAAAGGTTATTTATGGAGAAAAAGGCTGAATTTTATTCAGGACTGCAGAGTAAGAAAGAATGCTAGGAAAGAGCTTGGAATGATTATCAGCTTCATCTGCAGACAAGTAGGTGCTGGGGAAGATCAAAGTATTTAGAGTACAAATACATAAGTGTCAAAATTTAAAAGGCTTGAAAAGACACTATTCACCCACATTCTCATCCTTCTCACAGAGAAATTACATTGGATCCTGCATGGTTTTGACAAAAGACTGAACAACACACTGCCCCCAGATATTTCCCACTATCCCCTATATCTGCTATCTCCCCCCAAATATCCATAAGCAAACCCACTTCCGTTGATGGATCAGCAGTGTCCATCCATTTCACACAGACCAATTCCCACTGCACATTCTAAGAGTTCATGCATGAGCTCTGGGACACTTCATGCCTGTCCAGTTACACAAAAATGCACGCAAAGGCCCAGAGCAAAAATTTGTTGCCAAAATCCAGTTCTGATGACACTTCAGTATCCGAGGCACAGGCAGGCAGAATTGTGCAGAAGGTGTGATGGAATAACATTTGCGTGAACAAATATCAGTGTCCTTTGGAAAATGTCTGTCCAGCAAAGGCAGAGCAAGCATGACTGCAGTCCTGTGAGCACAGGCAGCAGTCTTGGTAACAGATTACTTGATGTGGTTTTAATTGCTTCTCCCCCCAAGTCAGCTGAATGTTCCAATTGTGTCCTTTGGCCTTGTAAGAAGTTAGGCAATCCTGTTGGTCTCTAGGCCAGTGAGGAGGCAGTAGGGAGAAGGAGGATGAACTGTGGAAAATGTACCAGCTGAATGGACTCTACAGCACTAACTACTGACATGTGCAGGCTGTGACAGAGTACATCTCTCCACCCCAAGATATTCTAGAAGAGGAAATAAGGACCATATGCTGCCTTAGGCACAGGTGAGTATCAGCATTACACCCCACAACGGCACATCTGCTTGTTTGTGTATGAGCATCAGGTATCCTGGAACAGGGTGTTTTCAGGTGACACAAGAGTAAAATTTGTCCTGAGACAGCTCCTCTCCAGATCCTGGAATGTACAGAAGTACAGTGAGTTTGTTTTCTCCACCACTTTCCTGATGTCCTGAAAAGCCCCAGAGCAGCTGAGAGCAGGCCGTCCCGATG